ATGTTCTCCTCCTGTCTCCTTGGAATATCCTGGTGCTCCCTGGCTCTCTGATGCTAGGCTGTCATGTGCACATCATCCGGAACCTTCTAGAACCTCCTGGCAATTTCTGTGCCTTTGTCAGCTGAAGTAGTCTAGCATGTTCTCCATGACTGCAGATGATCCTGTGTTGATGGCTGGGTTCCTCCTGTTCCTGAAGTTTCCGGTACCTTCCGGAACTGTCTCCTGACCTCTGGGCTAGTCCTAAGTATTCTGGTGTCTGCTAGGTTGGTCTCTGGTCCTAGGTCTGTCTGGTGAGGGTGCTCCTATTGCTGGCATACCCTGGACTGTTCCGGTAGGCCCATGTGCCAAACCAGTTTGGTGCATGACATCGGCACCGCTTAGCCAGCGGTGCATCGCTTTCATTGCTCGACTCCTCTCCAGCGCTGCGATCGGACGGTCCGTTGTCGAAGACCTCCCCATAATACTGCTGAGCGTGGGGATGTTGGCGATCTTCATTGAACGGGTCGTCTTCGTTCGAGTCGTTGTCGGATGCAAGCGCTTGCACTGGACGCCGGTGGACTCGCGGCTGGGATGGCATGGGTGGCCCGTCTTCGAACTCGTCGGGGTCGAACCCGGTGGCCTCCCTTTGGCCGTCTAGTGTGCGCGGCGGACCATGTAACAGTCATTCAGCAATGAAGGTGGAAGTGGGGATTGTATGACATACCGGTCAGGTGGTTTTCCATTCCGCGCCAATCTTGACTAGGTGCAGCGCTTGGCCGAGGCACCATGTCGTCCATATCTGCAGTTCAATCACAATTGTATGGCAATCAGAGTATACCCATGAGACACTCACCAGGGTCGTAATCATCCTCTTCTTGCTCGTCATCGGCATCCTGTTGCGGGTAGCCGCTCCAGTCATCTATGCAAGGTGATCAGTAAAGTGGTGCCCAGTGGCCGTCTAATGACGACTGTGCTCACTCGGGTTATCATGCTCATCTTCATCATAACCTCCTTGACTCCCGTACTCGCCATCACTCTTAGCGTGACCGTACTCACCTCCCTCATCTGCATGGCTGCCGTACTCGCCTTGGTGCTCGTCATCATCCTCATTGCCACCGCCACCTTCCTCGCCCTCGCCCTGGTCGTACTGACTCGTATTGACGTAGCCCCTGCGCTGATCAGATGTGTGCCGATCTTCGTGATCTAGTTTCGAGCAAATCACATAGTAGTCAGCTTCTTTATACATGATAGACGGCGCCAACAAACCTTCAGTGACCTGAGCCTATATCACGTATGCTTAGGCGGAATAGGAGACGCAGGGAATGGCTTGTACGTACCAGCTTTGGGCGGCCATAAGTGATTTGTTGATGACGAACACGTTGGCCGCTCTCTCGAGGATGACGCGGCCGCACGGATTGCACAGGCTGAGAAGACGAGTACTGCTTCCTTTTCGGCCGCTCCATCTTGCGTGCCTCGGGCTGGGACATCGATGGCATGGTTGCGGCAGTAGCATGACGTCCCACCGATGCGGCTCCGAACGGCTTCTTCAGTTGAAGAAGGCGCTCTCTGTTCGCAGGAGTGAGCGTTCGACGCGGCTGCTGATGATACAATATCAGCATAGGGGATGAACACAGATCTGAAAACATACAGATGACGTCGGGACGGGGTGACGTTCGCCGGCTACCTTGCGCGCAGGAGTGACCTTCGGTTTTGGGATAGGAGCTGAGCGTGCACGCAGGTCTATGGATTGGCTTTTGTTGGCGGTGCTGTTAGTCGGCAGAGCTACGATGTTGAACTGCTTTGGATGAGTGCCCCGCACGCTTGCTAACGCCGTCATTCTGCTGCTCACCTCCTTCTGAGCTGGCTCGTGCTGGACTTTTCCCTTCTTCTTTTCCGGAGCGTTCTCCTTGTCACCTCGCTTGCGTTTCGCTTTCTTCCCTGTGTTGTCCGGGTCCTGTTGCCCATCTGTAAGGTAGCGAAGGTTTTCTACCTAAATGTGACTCGCTTTGAACGTGATAAGGACTACACATACCCATGTACCCTTTCTTTTCAGAGGGCTTGGATTGACGTCCACTACGAGTCTTCACAGCCTGTGAAGCCATTGTGCAGGAGTGACCGGAGGTGAAGGCAGGAATAGAGAGTCGACGTGGCGATTTCAGTCAAGAGCGACGCGGTCAAAATTGCAATGACCGGCAAGCGCCGAGCAGCTCGCCCGCCGACCGTTTCCGGGCTACAAGTCTAAGTCAGCCGCAATTCAAGGAGACTCGCTCTCGACTCCTGTCCGTTCACCTCATCCTTGTTCTCCTCCTTCCTCAACAGAACATGGCTCTCTTTCCTCGTTGCCTTGCTTGCTCGAAGCGGTTCGCCACCCACAAGAAGCTTAACCAACATATAGGCGGCTCTCCTGGATGCGAGAACGTCTATCAGGCTGAGTCTCAGAAAGATATGGACGCTGCAACACTCACTCGTACTTCGACCCCTTCTGTCGACCCAACCGGCCCTGCCTCGCGCGCACAGTCCCCGTCTTTGAGCATCTTCGACGAGATTCCAGCCTACATCCCGGCACCTCGCGAACTATCGCCGGCACAGGTAGAAGCCGATGTCTCTGGAAAGCGGCGTCGCGTCACTGTAGAGGATGTTGCGGACGAAGACAGCTCACCCTGGTCCTACGAACATTTCCCCGGAGACATCGCAACCACGTTGGGACCAGGCGTCACGGTGTTCCAAGATCTCCGAGACAAACACAACGCGATGCAAGAGGGCCTGCATGCGCCCTTCCGTGACGAGGAGGAGTGGGGGGCTGCAAAGTGGCTGATGAAGTATGTGAACCATACTGGCATTGAGGAGTACTGCAAGCTGGACATCGTAAGTCTTTGCTACATGCACAGGCAACCGTAACTCACTTTTGCCCTCAAGACGCGCAAACGTACCAAGCTTAGCTTCCGGAGCAAGTACATGTTCTTCAAGAAGATTGATGCACTCCCCGTTGGGCCGCAGTGGCATTACGACCTTGTTACTGTCACGGGCGACCGTATGGGCCCGAATGGGCAAGCCCTGACCGAGGAGCTGGAAGTCTGGCGGCGCGATCCCCTGGAGTGTATCGCAGAGCTGATCGGGAACCCGGCATTCCGAGACTTCATAACATACGAGCCGACGAAGATCCGATGTGATGGACAGCGGTACTACAGTGAGATGAGCAGCGGGGACTGGTGGTGGAAAACACAAGTACGTGCATCAGATCATACGGCGACCTCACGGTAGGACAAGACGATGGCTTACCCCGTACTTCTAAGGCTCGTCTGCCCGCGGGCGCCACACTTGTGCCGGTGATCCTTGCTTCAGACAAGACTACCCTCTCTGTGATGCGCGGTGACAAGTCAGCGTGGCCCGTCTACCTCACGATCGGCAACATAGACAAGGCCCTCCGCCGCCAACCCTCCAGTCACGCAACAGTACTTCTGGGGTACGTACCTGTGGCCAAGTTAGCGTGTTTCACCGATTCCACAAGATCTGAGGCACAGTACCGCCTGTTCCACCGTTGTATGAGTAGCATGCTCGATGCGCTGAAGGCTGCTGGAAGACAAGGGACCTTGATGACCTGCGCAGATGGTCAGATCCGACGCATATTCCCCATCCTCGCTGCATACATCGCGGACCATCCGGAGCAGTGCCTCGTGGCATGCTGCAAGGAGAACTGTTGCCCACGGTGCCTCGTTCCTCGACTTTGCAGGGGGGACACGACCGTCTATCCCCTTCGTTCCCAGAGCGTCAGCGAGGACCTCATGAATCGAACATGTGCTGGAGAAGACATACTGGAGTTCGTTGAGCAGGGCTTGCGTCCCATCCCCGAACCGTTCTGGGCAGGCCATCCTCTCGTCGACGTTTTCGCGACCATCACGCCGGACATCCTCCATCAACTCCACAAGGGTGTGTTGAAAGACCATCTGGTTGTATGGATCACGAAGCTTGTTGGGAAGGAGGATCTCGACAACCGCTTCAAGACGCTCCCCGATGCTCACGGCCTCCGTCACTTCAAGAGTGGCATCTCCCTCATCTCACAATGGACGGGAGGTGAGGCGAAGGAAATCGCCAAGGTCCTTGTTGGCTTACTTGTTGGACGCGTCGACGGGTCGGTCATCCATTGCGTGCAAGCCCTGGTCGACTTTGTATACCTTGCTCAATACCCCGTCCACTCCGACACTACGCTGCTTCAGTTGCGCGATGCGCTCGCTCGCTTCCATGCTGAAAAAGAAGTGTTTGTAAGGCTGGGAATCCGCGAACACTTCAACATACCCAAGCTCCACTCACTGCTTCACTACGTCGACGCTATCGTGGAAGTTGGGTGTGTGGACGGCCTAAACACCGAAACATCTGAGCGGCTTCATATCGACTTCGCCAAGAAGGCCTACCGAGGGAGCAGTCGCCGGGAGTACTTCGCGCAAATGACAACTTGGCTACAGCGCCAGGAAGCCATCGTGAGGCATGAAGCATACATCGCTTGGCGAGCGCAAGAGGAGGTCGGTGTTTCTATAGAGGACTCCTCGGATGGGACTGAGGGCGAGGACGACGAGGACGATGAGGAGGAAGAGGAAGATGAAGACGCAGCCGAACGGCAGGGCGCCCATACTCCAGCCGAGTACAAGGTGCTCCATCAGCTCATTTCGTCCAACGTTGTGCGCGCCTACCAGCTTCCCCTCAAGCAGGACCCAGGCCAATACACCAAGAGCTCATATGCCGGAATCCCCGAAAATGGGCCCGAAGGGCCCGGAACTCACATGAAATTTAGGTCGATTTCCCCGAAAATGAGGCCGTCAGCGGCCGGAGTTACATCCCTCCCAGCCCCGAAAACAAGCCCTTGCCGGGACAGTCATATGCTGGAACCCCGAAAGTAAGCCTCGGTCGGCTGACCGGACGGCCAGGGCTTCCCCCTGGAGACGAAATATAGCTGAAAAGCGAAGGAATCAGCCCACCGCGCTCTCTTTTCAATGTTTTCTCCTCCAACTCAGTAGGGGCCCGTCGGGCCGGAAAATCCGTTGAGCGCTAAACGGGCGCCTAACCCTATGTTACATGCATTTTACCCCCGAATCCGGCGTAGCCGGTCGCAACTTACGCGAAAATCCCCGAAAAAGAGCGGATTTTCGACCCCCGAAAACGGCCCAAATGGGCCTCCAAACGGATGTGAGCTCTTAGTGTATTGGCCTAGGTCCTCCTCAAGCCGACTGCCTCTCGTGTCTCCTTGCCACAGATACAAACGAACTATGGTGCTACGGGATTCCTGGACGACTTGAACGTCTTTTTAGCCAGTAACCGGAGCCCCTCCCATGCAGCCTCGCATCTCCCGCCCAACCGCTTCGACTGCTTCGATATCTATCATTCTCTGTCTGTCCTGCTCCCTCCCAATCGGCACGTAGCAAACTCCAAACGCGTCTGCAAGCTGCGGGCTGCCCCATATCGACCGCGCCGCGGAACCCATGCTGCAACACCGGCGCATTTCGATACCGCTCTCTTCATGGTAGATGAAGAGCTCTTCCGCCGCGAAGGCGCGCTCCACGGTGAGTACTATCTTGTCCCTACTCTGCACTTATTGATATGTTATCCCCGACAGGTGTCTCAGCTGGGCGCGTGAAGGTCATATTCTACCTCCCTGCGCATCTTGGCACCCATAGCCATCCTCTCATGTTTGTAGAATGGTTTAGACCGTTCCGGGGCCCAGATAGAACGGGCGGGCTCTTGACTACATCGCATTCAACGTACCATCAAGCACGACGGCATTCTATTGTCTCCGCCAGCAAGCTCCTTCGCCCTTGTCATCTCATCCCACGGTTTGGCGGAGAGTCTGTAGACATCAACTGGTCTTCGGAGACTGTTCTCGACGAACCCGTGGACTTCTATCTTAACCACTACTCCGATTTCCACCTATTCCATGCCGCTCCTCGTTAATCACTCCCAGGACACCCATTGCATACTCTGAGGTCCCGCAGAAGTCCCGAATCAAGAACCATCCTTCGACAACCTTGAACGGCCCTCCATCCTCCCACCGCCATGCGGCCGTTCCGCGCCGTGCAAATACCTGTGCCCCGCGCACCACTCCTGCACGACCATGTCTCCTCGTGCAGAAGCGCTCTCTACACGTCCCCCGCACCGCACTTACGTGGCTCTGACAGCCCACCATGCGACAAGTGTCCTTCCGAGTCTGCGCGACGCAATGGCGTACTACGACTCGATGGGAACACGGAATCCACACCGGTTGGGGGCGAGGTCATGGAGGGACTCGGATGAGCGCACTTCGCGCCGCCCTTCGACCTGGCGCTTGAACGTCGTGGCTTCAACTAGTGAGCGCACCCATCTGGAGCGCAACGGGGCATCTACATGGAGTGCCCTAGGGTGGAGCATTAGACGGCACCCCCAACGTTCCCCACCTGCGCACACAGTGACCGTCTCCCGGTCCCTCTACCTCGGGTGCGACAACCGGACGGCGAAGGGCGCGAAGATTGAGGGCGGGAAGAGTGGATGGCAGAAGGCGCGACAAGGGGATGATGGAGAGCGCGATCAGGGGATGACCGAGGGCGCGATCAAGGGATGGGAAGGCAGTGAGGATGAGGAGGTGTGGTATTGGTGAGTTCGTATTTCTGTCCCTCCCTCGCCCTGCCACGGGATTGCTCCATGCAATGCATGGTCCGCAAGGCGCATTGCGTACATAACTGACACAATTACGCACACTACGTGGCCCTCTTCAGCTCCGCATACAGACTCGCGCTCTGCGACGTTCGCGCCGACCGTCACCCGCCTGCATGACAACACTGTGCCCCGAAGCAATTTCGACACGAACAAGACCGTTATGTCCTGTCCGCGCAGCCGGATAGACGTCCGAAACACAGACCTGACTGCCTGGTAAGTTCCTGCTACCTGTGTCTGCGGGCAGCGCCGTGCATTCTAACTTGTACCCTAGCAGTGCATACACAGCCTATCACTACTACGTCAATCTCATCTCCCTCCGCCCTGCCTCCCTCCACCCGTGGGCCGCCCCTCTACGCAGCGGTACGCATTCTCAAACAGCGTGCCAGGCCCTACGTGCGCCACGCATCGCTCGTCGGCCACTCGCCCACGCCCATGTCGACCAGACATCCACGGGCCACCCTGCGGCCCTTGGACGTCCACCACGCACCTCGGATGACACCGGCTCTGCATGACTGCGCAACCACAATCGTGCACACCGCCGACGGCGCGCGTCGCGCGCCATGTATCCACGACGCGCACATGGCCTTCTATCGTCAACGCATACAACGACGGAGCCCGGCAGACCACGCACGGCCGACTCACCTCCCTCGCTCAATGTCGCATGTCCTGGCAGATCGCGACGCGGCCAGAGCGAGAGCGACTGCTCATCTTGTGCCATCCAACGTCGACGGGGCCGCACACTGACGTCGCAGTGCGCATGGCCATGGACATCTCCCTCCAGATCGCGGTGTCAACCTTACCGGATGCGCATATCGGCCGCGCCCGTCTCTCGACCGTGTTGCCCAGGACGCACATCCTCACGACACAATCACTGCGCCGTGTCGTACCTAGCCCCTGCCCAGTTCGACCCACAGCCACCACACCGTGTGGGTGTGGCATCCTTTCCCCTGCCCCCGATCTCCTGCTTCCCTCACCCTTCCTATCTCCCCGGTATGCACTGACCGCTGCTTCGACCACGGAGCGCGTCGAGGTCATGTTGCTCTTCGTCGAAGCAGCATGTGCACATGCGAGGTCACCCGAGTCGTACGAGAGACTCCCAAGGTTAGCACGTCTGCCTGCGCGAAGGTTTGGAGACGTACTCACCGTGTTGCTACAGCTACTGGCTGTCCGTTCTCAAATCTTCATGCCCGCGCAACACGTTGTTGCCCCAACACCCGCGCGCAAAGCGCATGGCCTACAAGAGCCCTCATCAGTGCTCTCGAAGTGTCGCTCCGAGCTGCCGTATTTGCGAACCCTCTCCCCTCCCCGCGCGCATACCATGCTCGTGGGGCGCGACGCTACGAGCCGCTTACTGCTCGCCCAACGGTGGCCGCGCAACATCTCCACTCACCGCGCAGATACAGTACGCAGACAATTGGGTGCGTGAGCATGTCGTGCACTCATCTCAGGCATCCTTACGTCTACACAGGTGCCTCCACGGAACCCGCGAGGCAATATAGCATCCGCCGCGACGGTACCAGGTAGCCACCGACCTGCTGAACGAGTGAGTGATACCCGCGGCTATCTGGAGGAACTGTACTTACTTACTCTGCATTCTCTCAAACACTCCTGGGTGGTCTCGAGCTCCAGATACCGTGGCGAAGCTTCCCGGTACGCGCGCGCAGCCTGTGCGCGGCCGCATCGGTTGTCATCAGGCGTCGACATTGCCCGTGGTCATATACAGGCGTCCTGCATAGCTGCGCTGTGCGCGCGAGGTGAGTAATGGGTGCATGCACACAGGGCGCCTTTCACTCACTCCCCGCATCGTCACAGACACTCTCAGGCCATGCGCGACGTCTATGCCTGCTGTCCAGACGACGATACGAGCCAATCAATGTGTTCCCGGCTGCGTCCAATTCATTTCGGCCCTCCTGCATCCCCCCCCTTGTTTCCCACACGGGGAGCGTTGCAGACATGTCTGGAGAGCGAACATGGTCGCCCACTGTCCCGCTTCAACGTCTTCTTGACGGAGCTCGGTGAGTGGACATGTCAGAGGTCAGAGAGCATGCTTACTGACCTTCCGATGAAGAAGCGTCCCCGGCGATAATTCTGACGCCAGCCATCAGTGTTCTCGAAACCTCGCTCCCGAACTCCCCTATGCGCGAACTCTTTCACGTCCACGCACGGGTACTGCGCTCGTGTTGCCCGGCGATACGGCATGCTCTGAGCCCGCATGCATGGCTGTGCGACATCTCCGTTCACCGCGCAGGCGCAGGGCGCAGACGCCGTGGCACGCGTCGCACGAGGCCGACGTACACCCAGGAGACGGGTACTGACGTCTACATCTCGGAGATATCGTCCACGCGGCCATCAGCAGCCAAGGCGCGAGGAACGATGCCCATCTCGCTCTCGCCACGAGCACGCATCCGCGACGAGCCACGGTCCTCCACGCGCATTGCGCATCCCTGGACGTCCGCCGTGGGCGCAGCAGTGCGCACACCCTGCTCCCGGATCGTTGGGACGCCGCAAGTGCAAGTCCACGCTGTCGAGTGTGCGGCACCCCTCTGCGGTTAACTGCATCTACCGCTACGAACAGCATGAGAACTGATGGCACGATATGCGACACCCCTCTCTCCCGCTGCGATTGTGTCGCCGAATTCGAAGTATACTGCTTCCCGGAAAATGTACGTGAATCTCCGACCGATTTCGAGCACGATGGAAGGTGACGTGCCGTGTTTTGACTTGCTCTGCCATATAGGAAGGCTGCTTGGACTGCGTGACGGCGCGGGAACCGCTCTGCTGTGTGCGGATTTGTCGTCATCGCAGAAGTTTCGCCTGAGCATGGGAAGTACGTTACCTGCTTGTGGAGGGCGCCCGGTGGTGCGCCGCCCTGTCCCCCACGGGCCGCGCAGGAACGTTCCGGGCTGGGGATGTGGCACAAGTCGACGACCGCGCAGGGCACGCCCCGCCGTCTGGTGCTACGTCCCCCTCTCCGTCCCGAGTCCCCACTGCCTGCCCGTCCGCCCATTGATGAGAATTTGCGTAGACATTTATTGCGCTGCTCGTGTCATGCGGACGTACATACGTGTCGGTCCCGTTGTGTATGTGTCGCGAACTTAAGCGCGCTGTATACTATGTACCATAATCTAAGTGTTCCCCGCATCATACGCCCACAACCCCTCTTGGACTGCGACTCCATCTAAGTCTTCAGGATGGAGCATGGACTCTCTAAATGCTCTGAGGCTACATAGCTTCTTCACTGCAGGACGATGTATTGACTAAGTGTAACTTTCAATGTCCTATCCTGTGAAGCAGGCACAATATCATGCTACAGGGCGCTACCAGGCCACATCAATGTCCTCTGCAGCACCACAAACATAGATATAAATGTCACCAATGTATGTAGTGCAACTGGGACTGTATTTCACTGTAAGGCTCTCATCATATACTACAGGCTCGTAACCTTTTTGCTGATGCGTCCGCGGTATTGCGAGGTGCACCTGGGGAATTCCGCGCCCACCCGCGCGAGTACGCGCTACTACGCACGCTTCCGCGCGAGTACGCAGTACCACGCACCCTTCCGCGGCCCTCCGTGCCCATACGTACCGGTCCGGAATACATTCGATGTTTTCTGCCCAATACCGGGGGGGTCCGCGCTGATACGCGTGGATCTGCGTGCATATGCGTGGATCTGCCTGCATATGAGTGGAATTGCGGGGTGGACCACCTCCCTGGCCTGCGCGCGTACCCGTGCGTATCGGCGCGTAAGAGCGCGTATGTCTCGCGGAGATGCGCGTATGGGTTTACGCACCAGTGCACTTTTTCTGCACATTTCCGGGAAGTTTCTGCACCTCCGGAAATCTGCGTATGCGCGCGTACCCGCCCGGATCGATTTCTCACTGGGGATAACGCGCTGCGGCGCTTCCCAGCTACGCGCGCCTCCCAGCTCCGTCAACTTTGAGCGGCCCTAATAGTACTCGATGGGGTTGAGCTCCGGGTGGAACTTAGGTAGAAAGTGGCAAACATCACCGGCTTCTTCAATGATCTGCCAGCATAAAGAACATCTGTCAATGTTCATCAGAGAAGCCTGCGCCTGAGAAATTACCTTCTCGAGAAGGGATTTCTCATCCTTGAAGTCCTGCTGCATTGCGAGTGCACGGCGCATGCTAGTCTCCCCTAGGCAGACGTACCGATGATAGGCGCATGCAGCAGTCGGTCGGTCGATCATCTTCGTCCTCGGTCTCCACCTCTTCATCTTCATCGATCCTGTCGAGCTCTTCCTCCGTCAAGCCGATGACATGTGCCTTGCGCGATTTGGACTGCTTGCATTCCTTACAGTCGCCGATCATGTTTCGCTTCAACAGCCCGCGCTCGTGAAGAATGCGACGTATCCCTTTCGGCTGCCCCTCGTATGCCTTGAACTCATCATCGTCTGGGAGGACAGCATCGAACTGCATGGTTTGACGGTAGCCCCCACGCCCCCACATGTTGTCTGCAGGGACGATGGTATCGTGCATATCAGGTACGTTCTTGCCTCCTGGGTTCACATTCATCTTGGTGACTGTGAGCGCATCCTTCGCAAGACTGCCATGACAGGACGAGTTGTCGAAGACCCAGTGTACGATCGCGTTACTGACATCCGTACGTCATCAGGGGTACCACGCACGACTTGTACAATGTCCGTCGCTGTGCAGGCGGCATGCCTCGGATGGAATTGCCAAGCATCAGGAGCGACTGCGCAGTGCTCGCCGCACGCGCACCGTAGAAGCGCACGTGTGCACGAAACGTCATCTTCTTGTCAAGGTAGAAGCCCAGGTGCCGCAATACAGGCACCGGCTTCAGCGGTGTGTCTCCCGTGAATGGGGCTTCGCCAAGGTCAAGGGTGGGGTCCGCCCGCTTGCGTGAGAAGTGGCATGCTTCCGTCTTCTCGTGTTCGACGCGTAGCCCGACGCGATCGAACTCCGCAATGGTGCGTCGGTATTCATCCCGGAGCACGCTGACGTTCCCGTCCAGGTCTGCTCGCGACACTGACCACAGGCCATCATCCACGAAGAATTGCAGCCACGGGTGGCCGCCTGTGCCGTCCGAGCTGGTCGTACACAAGCGATGAATCACCGGCGCAATGTACAAGTTTGCCAGCGGCGGTGACAGGGACGAGCCCTGGACCACCCCCACATCCACCGCCGCAAAGAGCGGCGACGTCAGCACATCCCAGCGGTACGCCGTCGAGCGGCCGCTCAGGTACTGTTCCAGAAAATTCACGAGCATGGCGCTGAAACCCTGCTTGCGCAGGATGCCTAACAGCATGCGGTGATTTACCGATGGATAGAACTGTGCGACATCGAATGCCAGCACAGAAGTGTCGAGGCCGCGCGCCCAGCCTTGTCGGATGCGGTGCACGAACAACATGCCCGCGGCTCCGAGGGTGTCGCCTCTCACTAGAGCATATTCGCCAATGCAATGCAAAACGCCTCAGCCAACCAAATCGCAGGGATTTTGGGCGCGTTACTTGAACAGGCAGGTGGGCAAGGTTTGCATTGGGTTGCGAATATTCTCTACTCGGGGGCTCTCGCGAAGAAGCGACCGCGTGGGCGGCATCCGGCATGCTCAACTCGGATGAAGCCTGTGCGCTCAACTCGGATGCAGCCTGTGTGCTCAATTGCGTAGCGAGCAACCTCGTCACTGACGATCGCTCATCCGGAAATGTGGGGGGAGGTTTTTCCTGATGCACTACCGCTCGACGTGTGCGTCCGTTCTATGTCTATGTGGATATATCAACTCAGCTCTCCGGCCGCGCTCAAATAGAAAATTGGTCAACCTCACCGACCCCCACATCCCCTTCACTGACAGACCGGTCCATCCGTGGCCGTCGACTGGTACATCAACCTCCACATGGGACACCAACACGACCCCAGCATAGATGACAGCCCAGTCGCCCTCGCGGGTCATTGCATATGCTGTGGCCAGCCACAGTGCATCTATTGGGTTCTATCTTGCCATGAAGACGAAGGCAGACTAGATGGCTTCGGCACCACTTCATCCACCTCATACATCGCGGTACGTTTCATGGCGAATGGCTTTGTCCGTACTGTCTGGTATTGACTCGTGCACGTCACATACAGGGCGATGAGGGGCCCACTCCTGCCAGTGGTGGGCTGGGCTACGATGACATCGACTCGGACGGCGCTGGTTTTATGGCGCGTGATAATGCCGACGAATATCCGTCCACCGGCGACCCTTACACGTCCGCAGCAGTGAGTCGCTTCAGGCTGGCGGGCCGTACAAAACATTTGCTCATGTTAATGATTCCGGGAAGCCGAAGTCTGCGCAGACAGATACGCCACAGCCGCACAATGCCCTATTCGGAGTCGTACAGTGCCAACCCGGTTCCGAAGTTTCAATCACGGTACGGCAGGCACGCATGTGTCCAAGACCTGTGCTAAATTTTCGATCGTCGTCCGCAACAATTACGTGCAGATTTTGCCACAAGAGCAATACCAGACTCGCCAAGTGATGGTGTTGCAATATCCCCCTATTCAATTCGACGGCTGCAGTCTCCAACGCGCCCTGACGGACGAGACGAGCGACCTCGTGGGTCGCGAAGCGGCGGCGTTCGGAGCCGCCGCTTCTCTCCCGCAGAAGATGTCAATCATTCTCATGGTGCGCGGCACTGGTCTGCACCCCTGCGATTGAGACTCACCTCGTGCCTGGCGTCCACAGTTCTCGGGTCATGCGCGGTATTCTCACCAGGCAAACATCCTTCGCGCGCGGCAGACCCCGCCGACCCGCGCACAACTTGCAACTATAGTCGCTCGTGAGGTTCTGCGCTTTTTGGTGAGGGCATACGCGTGTTTGAAGAAATATGGTAGTACGACTGACCACGGCTCTCACCTTCTAAGACGAAAGCGCGTGAATTGGGTATCCCGTTACAGTTCCGCGGACACGCGGTACTGGGGCTGCAGGATCTCGTCCTTATGGAAGTGCGCCATGTGTCCAAGAGCAGCATCCAACCTGTGATCGGTATCATCCATCGCTAGACTGGAGTACATTCCACGTATCCAACTCGCACAAAATTGGTTACAGGTTGGTAGGCTTCGAGTATAAAATAGGCTTAGGCCATACATGCACCACTTGTCGTACATGATATGTATTTTTCGCGTGCCGGAGATGCAAAGCGCACAATTACCACAAGTACTGTACTGCAGTCACAGTAACGTACTTAGTCCGCAAAACTACGCGGTGGCGATGAGGCCCCCTTAAAGTAGCTTGATGCACGTGACCTACGCGTCGCTTCACGTCGGCCCGCGGCGCCGCCCACCCCGCGACGCGTCCAGCACGTTCTTTCTTTCTCTCTCTTACCTTGCCTGCTTAGTTTCTGTGGTTCACATCGCTATCTCTGTTTCCTGCTCGAAGAATTGTGCTGTACCTCGGGGATGAATACGGACAAATCTCAACAAGGTACGCTAGCAATACCTTTTCTGCGTCTTGCTCAGACACGAATGTGGACGCGTTCGCTCATGCTCTTTCGACACTGCAGTCACTTGGTATGTGATTTCACGTGTAGCCTCATGTGTACTCTCACCTGAAGCTCTCGTCAACTCAGTCCGGTGTGTTCCAAGAGTGTACCTGAACAAGACATCAATCGACATCTAGACAACAACTGCTCGGAAGACATGCCCGCTAATACCACACCTTCCGCTACGCAAAAGGGCAAGATGGCACAGGCATCCCTTACTTCGCTCTTTACACAGACTGGGAAAGGATTGCGCGCGTCCTCTTCCTTTACCGAACATGCCTCATCATCCAAGTCTGGGCACACGCGAAAGCGCAGCGAGGCGGAGGATACGTTCCCTACCCAGGTCACCCCGCTCAAACGACAACGAGTCACTACATCTGCACGATTACAGTCTGCCGCGCCATTGGCAGAACGCCTGCGGCCGCAAACTCTGGCAGAGTTTGTTGGTCAGCCTCACTTGACCGGGCCGGGTTCTCTCTTACGGAGCCAGCTCGATCGGGGCGCTACGGGGAGTATCATATTCTGGGGACCACCTGGGTGCGGGGTATAATCCTCATCGTCCATTAGAGAATATTCACCAGGCACCGCAGATGTGGCAAGACTACGATAGCGCGACTGCTTGCAAAGAGCTCCAACGCTGTATTCAAAGAATTGAGCGCTACGGACTCGGGCATAGCGGACGTTCGCGCGGTCGTCGAGGAAGCCAAGAGTTTGCTCGCCCTCACAGGCAGGTCAGAGTCCTAGTCGCCTGCTTACGGTCTGTACTTACGCGTTCTGCGTGCTAGGCGGACCATCCTATTCCTAGACGAGGTACACCGCTTCAACAAGGCCCAGCAGGTAATCTTGCACCTCTGACTTTGGACTAACATTATTAACATGGCTTCAGGACATCTTCCTCCCATTCCTTGAACAAGGTCATCTGCAGGTTGGCACGCTACGTCTTGCATTCAAAATCAGCGAATGACCTTGTTGCAAGCTTATAGGAGCTACGACCGAGAATCCCTCCTTCCGGCTTACCAGCGCGCTGCTGAGCCGATGTCGGTACGTGCTCTCACTTTTCAGCAAATATATGGACTAATCTTACTATACAGTGTCTTCGTGTTAGAGCGACTCACAGATGACGACATCAGAAAAATTATCATTCAAGCCGTAGAGCGTGTGTCCGAGTCTGAAAGGAGCTCGTCCAAGGAGGCAGCGTCGCAGCCCACCCGCGAGATACATATCATTGACGACGGTTCGAGCGACGTTGAGAGTTCGCAACCGGACATCGAGGCACCTCTCACACAACCACCTCAATCCTCCGAGCCTCCATCTTCACAGCCTCCATCTTCCCAGTCGGGCCCCTCTGGGACACCGTGTTCATCTCAGCCCGAGCCCGCGTTCGCCGCATACCCACAACTGACACCCAAGGTCCTGTCAACGATCGTCTCACTGTCTACTGGCGACGCGCGTACCGCGCTTTCCCTTCTCGAACTCGTCCTCTCTGCCTCCTCCGCCTCGGACGAGGAGAAGCTCCTCAGCGCACTTCGCCGCTCGGTATCGACTGCATACGACCGCTCTGGCGACGCGCGTTATGACCTCATCTCCGCCCTGCACAAGAGCGTACGCGGCAGCCAGGGCAGCGCCGCGTTATACTGGCTTGCACGTATGCTGGGCGCCGGCGAAGACCCCCTGTACATCGCTCGGCGTATGGTCGTATGCGCGAGCGAGGACATCGGGCTCGCGGACAGCCATGCGCTCCCTCTGGTACGTACTATCACGACACTATGTGCTCGCGCACTTTTAATCAACCTGCTGTTTGTGCGCAGGCAATGTCGACATACCAGGCCTGTCAGGTCATAGGTATGCCGGAGTGCCGCATCAACCTCGCGCACCTCGTATCGTACCTATCGGAGGCGCCCAAGTCGACTCGCGCGTACGAGGGCTACAAGCGCGCTGAGGAGGCCGCAAAGCTCGACATGACGATTCCCGTCCCGCTCATGGTGCGTAACGCGCCGACGGGGCTCATGCAGAATCTCGGGTATGGCCACGGGTACCGGTACAACCCGGAGTTCGCGTAAGTTTCTCGATCGCGTCGTGTGGCGTTCAGAAATCGTTGCTCACTCCGGTGATTGTGGTCGTATAGGCATCCGGTCACGAACGACTATCTCCCGATACAGTTCCGCGACGAGGAGTTCCTGCTGAAGGAGGGAGATATCCACGACAAGGCCTGGGATGAAGACGCGCTCCGGGAGTGGGAGTTCAAGGAAAACGGCGGACGCCCCTGGTCGGGTCGCCCAGCCGACACTGGTGCTAGTTCGTCTAACGAGCAGCACACTTAAATCCCGTATCATGCTAGTTCTTGCTATCTTGCTATCTGTTTGTCGCACATTTGTATCATGCTCTTGGAGCTGGATGGACCCGCATGTTGAATATTGACCATGATTACACTACAGTACCGCTATATGCCTACAATCCATATAATAACTGACGACCATAACATATAAGTAAGTACTAGTATGAAGGGAATATTGCGACGATAGCGATGGCGATAGCGATTGAGACCGTTTCTGTCCGGAGGCAAAACTACTTCCACATCCGCCCTGTGCAGTTCGGCGCCCCGCACTGGCACTTGACGTGGACCGCGTCGTCGTCGCTGTCCCCATCTGGCGGAGGGTCCACGCCCATGTCGTCGTCTGGCGTGCCGAAGTAGGAGAAACAGAGCTCCTCGTAGGGCTCGACGTCCCTGTTAGTGAAGATCGTGAGCAGGGCCTTGTCCAGGTTGCCCTCGTTGATGTAACACGCGACAATGACGCAGTTCGGGTCGCAGCTGTGGTTCTGCGTGCGAGGTCAACGTCGATACAACATACGGCCTATGTCTGAACTCACTAGATATCGGGTGAACTAGATGTGTGGTCAGTGCTGGGCTGATTCGAGAGTATGATGCGCTACTCACATTGCCAGCATGGTACGCATCGATGCAATACTTGACCTTCTCCTCGTCATCCTTGAGGTACCAGAAGTCGATGTCAAACAGGTACGTCCTTCCGAACTTGTTGTAGAGACTGCAGAGGTCAACCGTAAGGACCTACTACGTACAGTATCATAACGAACTGTGTACTCACGTGCCCCGTATTTCACCTTCTGAATCTGTGAGGTATTCGCCGGCATAGATCCCAATGTATGAGTTGGCAGGTATCTTCTTGGGACCGTTGAACACCCCTATCGTCGGGTCGATTCAATCGCATGTAGCAAGTGAGCAGGCAGCATGACGTACCCCAGCCCTTCTTCAGAGTTTTGCAGATGGCGATCTCATACTGCCTCCCATGCTGTACCACCTACGGCACCACTGGTGTTAGCGCACAGTCCATAACCACTGGAGCTGGATGGGACATACCCGGTTCATGCAGTCCTCCGAGCACCCGCAGTTCATGTTGCATTCGAAGATGGGGTACTCATGCGCGCGCAGTTTGCCCTTCTTGTCGTAGATGAACCCGCCTTGGTCCCATTGATACTTGCGTTGCCGCTTGACACATGCGCACGTCGTCGACGTGGGGTCGCACGGCCCAAAGCAGTCGCAACCATGCAGGCTATCATGGTCCGGTTTCGGCACGCCCTCCCCATGCCACATCAGGTTCGAGTAGTAGAACTCGACCGGCGGCGTGGGCTCGTCGTCGATCTCGTTCACGATGCGGATCGGTGGCGCGTACGGCTCGTCCTCGGCCGTGTTCGCGTGGATCTCTGCCTCGAAGACGAGCGCCTGCATGTTCCCCGCGAGCCGTGCCCCCAGGCTGAGCGCGTTGATGCGGTCATGCAGCTCGTGCGGGATGTCCTTTGCGAACTGCGTGAGGGGGGCGAACTCTTTAGCGATCCGCTTGCGGTCGTGCTTCCAGGAGATCGGCTCGAAGCCCGCATCCTTGAACGCCTGGACGAACGAGTTGCCGGCGGTGCGCGAGATACCGCCATGAGCGGCAGCCGCATCGTCGCTGGCCGTGCGGATGTACGCCCGAGTGCGCCGCGTTCGACTGATAGGGCGCTCCGGAGGCTCGACGGAGGACCCCGCAGAACTCGACGTTAGACGGGCGGAACGACGGGGGCCGGACATAACCGAGGACTCGGAATTTGCTTGACTGCGCGTGCACCGCGTGCTAGGGATGACAACCTCTTGTTGCTCTTCATGCGCAGTGATCTCTTCATGTTGGGGCTCGGGCGGGGCCGTCTTACGTCTTCGATTCAGTCATTGGCAGGTACAAAAGTTCGCGTCACGCACCTCGGCTACTGGAGATTGCTCATGAGAACTCGGATAGATGAGGCTGAGGCACTCTTCCTCCTCCATAGCCTCAGGGCTAGATGAGCGGGGTGGTGTCGCCTCGCCTTGTTCAGGGTCAACGGCGGGACTCAACCGGGCGGGCTCCACCGCGGCAACGTCACGTGAGTCAGAGGCCTCAGACGTGTGCGACGACGGCGGACCCTGCGGCGAATGAGGCGGTAAGGGAGCCTCCGGAACGACAGTAGGAGATGCGACCCTAGCTACAGGTGATTGTGGATTAGGCGCTGGTGGATTCGCCGGCATCGCAGCCCGAATGAGATCACGGAGGCGTGGCAACATAGGCTTCAGTGGGACCTGGGGGGTCGCGGTGATTGGGGAGGGAGAGTCACTTGGGGGCGTAGCGGCGAACTTCGAGGAACTGGCTACGGCGCCGCCTGGGGTGAAGGGGAAAGCGGTCGAACTAGAGGCAGAGAGTTTACTTGGGCTGCTGACCCTTCTCACGTTGCGCGGGATGGCAGGGGGAGGGAGCTTGGGCGATGCAAGGTGCTGGGATGCTAGGGAGATCTTGCGGATGTTCCTGATCGCGTTGAGGTCTACTGTCTTGATGGGTTGCGACGCAGGGATGGGGGGAGTAGACGTTGAAGACGACGACGACGACGAAGAAAGGGCTGCAGGACCCGTTAAATACCCCACGCCTCGAGGAGCAGCTCTGGTGGACTTACAAGGTAACGTGCTCTGCTGAGCTTCCAATGGCAAGTGTGACTGTGACACCTGTTTATTCGCGACTGTGCGCTCAGGTTGTGGCGCTTCCCCGTCCGAATCATCGAATGTCAAGTCAATCACCTCCTTCCGCGCGTTCTCACTCCCGACGTGCCGAATAATCTGTGAGAGTGTTCGCGAACTCGGTTCTTCCTCAACGGGTGGTGTCGAGCGTGGGCCCGATCCGTCGCCCTGACCATTGACGCTTGCGGCCGCTGTCTCCACATCCGGAAGTGTGGCTTTTGCCTTCGCCGGGACATCATCTTCGGCACCTTCCTTGGCATCCTCCTTGGCAGCGGAGAGTGTGGGCGTCGAATGGTGTACCGAGGTAGACAATGTGGGAACGTCTTCAGAAGGAAATTTCTCTTTCGGAGCATCCGTTTCGGGTTGAGGGGGTGTCGGCGGGGGTGGGGGTGAATGAGCGTGTTCGTGTTCCGTGCCTTCCTCCACCATGCTGTCTGGTTCTGAGGGGGGAGTTGCTACCGGGATACCTGCTGTGTCTAGCTTCACCGCTTCGAAGGCTGAAACAGGCACTTCTTCCGGTCGTAGGACTTCATTGTGGGTCTCTTCCGTGCTCTTGGTCGACGTGGCCTGCTGTGTCAACGCTGAGGAGTCGTCCGACCGGATTTGTTGCAGGGACGACGAGAAGGTATCCGTACGTATTATCCGTGTTGTCGTAGGCGATAGACTCGCAGATGTCCTTGCGTCGGAGGTCGCTGATCCAGTTGTAGACCCGCCGGAAGATTGAGAGGCCTTCCGGCTTTCTCGACGTTTCTTCTTGACACGGTAGGCGTCTTTGAAGAACCCGTCTTCCCCGCCGAACAATGAACGTAGCCGAATCTTTGATGAGCCTAAGCGTGGGTGTAATGGTGACTGCGGAGACATAGACTGTGCATGGTTTGGAGACACTGCATCAATCAGGTGAGTTCTCTGATACTTTTCGGCCTGCTTTAATACATACCGGGAGAAGGGGCGGCAGACACAAGCTGGGTTGCGCTGAAGGACTGCTCCTGATTGGAGTCATCACCGGCCCCACTGCCAGATATCGCGAGGTCCTTAAGCTGGGCATCGAGCACCTGCGAAACGGGACTGGCGGTCTCCGAGCGAATGTCAGAGGAAGAATTGAATAGTGATGCAGCAGACAAGGATGGGGGGGTTGTTCCTCTTAGCACAGATGGACGAGAGAAGGTATGTCGAGGTTCCGGTCCTGGGCTTTTCTCAGAAATTGTGTCAAGGTGTGAGGTAGGTCTGTCAGAGCTAGGAGATACTGCTTGTCCAGCAACCGTCGATGGTGTCTCTGCATCCCCAGCGAGGACGTCGGGAACTCCCTCGATAGAAGCTTCACCAGTGGATGCTGGCGCTAAGGAATCTGTAGCAGGCATAGGCGGCTGTTCCGCGACAACCTGGTCCTCTAATATTGCTTCAACCTCTAGAGGAAGGGCTGGTGCTTGATCTGAAGACGAATCGACGGGCTCCTCAATGTCATCCATAAGGACGTCATCTGGAACAGGCTCGGCTATCGCAGATTGCTCTTCGTGCATGAATTCCTCCATAGCATCCTCTTCCGTCATCTCGACATCTTGCAGTTCGGGTACGGCGGCAGGCGGTTCGGCAATTATTGGCTCTTCGACTGGAGGTGGGTCGTCTGTGTTCGCCAAATCAGTGTCCGAAGCTGCTTCGGGCGATCTGACCAGTGCTGAAGGTCGAGTCCGAATTGGTGCCAGTGAGAGTGCGTCATCGGAAGTCAGCGGCACAATCACTGGAGAAACTCTCGAAGATGGCTCTGGGACCGGTTCTGGAGGCTGACCTGGAGGCTTGCTAGGCGGAGCAGACCTGGTCGGCGCCGAAGACGAAGTCGGTTTCGATGGGTTGGGTATGGGTGTGATTTCGTCATCGAAATCCAGCAGTACAACTCCATTCTCATCTTCTGGATACTGGACGGGGGCCGGTCGATACTTGGATCTCCGCGGTATGTCGACCTTCGGTTTACTCTTCGGTGCGGGTGCGGATGCAGGTACAGGTGTTGGGGGTTTGGCGGGCTTGGTAAGTTTAGCGGATCGCGGAATGGGGGCAGGCGGTTCCTCATCGCTATCCAATATCTCGATGACTTCGCGGTCAGGCGGGGAAGACGATTTAGGAGGCGCGCGCTGATTACTCGGACCTGTTCCAGAGGTGAGCATTCCGTTACGGTCACGACTGGGTCTAGCATATCGGTGCATACCGGCCGTGGATGCGCTCTCGTTCCGTATGTTGTCAGAGGGGCCGGGCAGGTTCCCCGACTTCTGTCTTTCTCTGGCTCGATGTAAGGGTGCTGTGGTCGCCGGCGCAGGTCGCTGAGGAAGAGTTTGCCGAGCCGAGGCTGACGCGGACGAGCCTGAAGCACTTGATCGCCTGTCAGCCCCATTGCCAGCCGGGCCACTCGGTGTCCCATCGACCGACACACGTCCATATCTACGAGGAAGAGCTGGCACGGCAAGCGCGGTGGACCTTCCGGCGCTGGATGCTTGAGAGGATTGTGGAGGACGTGTAGCGCCGGTCGCGAGAGCATCTGCGAGGGCGACTCTGGTCCCCGCAATGGCTAGGCCTTTGTCGGGGTCAACGATTCGCCTTTTCTTCTTCTTTCTAGGACGAGTCTCCTCTTCCTCCGAGCTCATGGAATGTGGACGCCTGTTGGAGGGTGGCGGCGGTGGTGGCGGCTTGCGAGGGACTGCGTGCCGTGAATGGAGGCGGTCAGTACGAGGCGAACAGAAAACGCACCTGCACTAGTTGACTGCGTCCCGCCGCCGCCATTCGAAACCCCAGCCGCTCCGCCACCGTTCGCCGCTCGCCGCGCACTCGTGCCCGCCGCGCCACCTCGTCTCCTTCGTTGGGAGGCGCTTTGCGAAGTAGGCGGGGACGGATCAATCTCGTCGAGCATGTCGGGAGAGCCGCGCGACTGCAGTTCGTCCTCTGACGGGGCCACCGAGCTTGACGACTGTGCTAAAACGGAAAGGGGGCGTGAGTCGGCCTTTAGGCGCGCTGTGGGTGAGCGGAGGTAGCGAGCAGTAGCTGACCTCGGAGAGTTGTCCAAGCTGGGATGGACATGTCCCGGCGCATGGCGAGCGCTCGTGTCGCAGCGTGGCCTCCGTGTGGGTTGAGAACAAAGGGACGACGGCGCGATTTTAGAGGAAAAAGTCACCTGCAGCGAAGCTAGAAGCTGGGTATATGGGTTCCCTCTCGGACTGGGGAATCGAGGTCCCTGGTGAAGTCGGAGGGAGAGCGCCTTTCAAATGCTCCCCCGGACTCGGATGATCGGCGGATGCGCGCTGCCACACTTTCGGTACGTCTCTCTCTCCTCAACCGTCCTCGGCGCGCACGTACGAGTTGCTACTGCTCTTGGTGGACTTCATTCCCGGAGAATAACTAAGTCCTTCGTGTCTCGTACAGGAATATACTGTCTTGCGCTTCACTCAGTGCAAAACGTCGCTATAAGTACTCGCTGCCCGCTCAGATCAGACGAGCGACCGGGCGGAGCTCCTTCCGCTTCTAGCTTTTCGAATTTCATTATCGATATCGACCAAGGCGAGAGGTTCGCGCGACGCACTGGCAGTACCGGGCCAGAGTACATTCGTACTAGCGGGATACGTTGCCTTAGCGCTATGAAGGGGGATGCTGACGGATTTCTAGATGATCTTGGCCGGTCTCTCTACGTCTAGGTAGGTCCGCTTAACGGTCATAATGGGCTCGCGGCCTTAAGCTTGGGATACGATGATCCGATTCCCAAGAAAGAAAGCTGTAACACGTCGAGTACCATACTGACTTACACGAACACTTTCCGGCTCACAGCAGCTTCCCAGACAGTTTACCCCTGCCACACGGCGGGACCTGCATGCGTGTCGGTGAATATTTCAGTGGACGCGCGTAAGAGAAAACTTACCGGGAATCTGGTAGGTGTACACGTTCTATGATGACTCGTTAGCTCCGTCCGGCCGCTAGCGAACACATTACTCACAGGCTGGGAGTACACGTCGATTCCGACGCCAGGATCCGACCTGTAAGGAGGCAAACTCAATACCCGATACAACGACCCGCGAGGCTAGAGATGCACGCACATCTTGTACGCTCCGGGGAACTTAACGAGGTAGGATCCAGAGGGCTGAGCAGACCCAGAGCCCTACCATGGCAGCTCGAGTTGAGAACGGCGCGCGGGAAACTCACAGAGTACTCACCGTGACCTTCAGCTGCGCGCACTCCGGGTAGAACTGCGGCTGGTTCGACGTGTGGATAGCGAGGAGCTCATGGCGCAGAAGGTACTCGCCCGCCTTGAGGGACGCAGGGATTGTCGTCGTCCAGCTGCTGTTGTCCGCGATAAGCTGGCCCTGCGCCCATTGGCCGTTCGCGAGGCTGCCGGAAAGCAACCCCGACTCCTCAATCTTGAACTGCAATGAGGCCTATCAGCGCAGGCACTCAGTGATATGGAGAAACGGATACATGCCCAGTTCAGCGAGGAGGGGGTCGCTGTCGTGCAGGCGCCGTTGCAGTTTGCCATGTACACCATGACAGGGCCGATCGCGTGCTCCCACTGGCTGGGCGAGAGTCAGCATACGCCGTGCACAGTTGGGTTGGGTGGATAGCGAACGCTCACTTCCAGTACGCAGTAACCTTCGAGCCTGCAGGGACGGTCGCGGACTGCTGGGCGGAGCCGAGGGACGCTCCGTTGGTGTTGCAGGCGAGAGACGCGTCGGTCGGGGTGGTGATCGGGTTGTAAGAGTCCCATTCGCGCTGGATACTGGTCTGTCCCGCAGGGGTGTTGTAGGGCACGAACCTAAAAATTGAGTCACGATGGTGTATGAATAGTCCGCGAAACAGAAGGGCATGGTGATCACATACCCTTGGTAATGTTGGCCGTTGATTTGGTAGCTCAGCACGCCGCCGTGTGCGGAGACTTGACTGACCGCGAAAACGAGAGCGGTAAGCACAGCAGACGCGAACATGGTGCGATAGTCGAGTTTGTGAGTTCAGACGAGCAATGCAGCGTATGGAACTCCCTGCCAAGTACCCCGCGCTCTTATATGCCCGTGAGGAGACGGATAACGCTACGGTCGGGAGGTGAAGTGGCGACAATCTTCCGCTGCGCCATGCCTGGGAATTTGGCGGGATTCACTTCGGAAGGGAGAGGGGTGGATGAGAGATACTTTGTGAGCGTTCAGTCAATCCCGCGTAGTGTGCCGTCGTGAGTGGAACGTCCAGAAAATCTTCGTTTTACGATACTTCGGTCATGACGGTCCTAATTGAGTGCAGGATGTGTTCTTCACGGATAAGTGACGGATAAATCATCGAAGAAGACGAGGAACAGGCGAGCGAATGCGAAATGCCAAGCCAACCTTCTGGGGCCCGGGTGACTTAGCACCTCAGCCGCCGGTGTCTATTGTCGACATATCGACGGAACTATCGTCCCTGTGCCGGTGCCCATACGAGCAAGACTAGAGCTTCGGATTATTAGTGCGCCGCGGAGACACCGCTCGCTCGTGACACTGATAATCCATGCTGTTCCTGCAGTCGGAAGAGAGTCAGCCGGTCCCTTCAAACGGTGGCAGAAGAGAATCGGATACGTGAACTTACATCGTTCCCGATATCATCCCGGGAGGTGCTAATCGATTTTGAGTGTTAGCCGATCTCACCACTATCAGACGGATCCGTTCAGCGCGCGAAGGAGCCGCAATAGGCTCGGGGCGTTCGAATGCAGAAGTGACCACATTTCACGAAACAAAGCCGTACATTCGAAGTACAACGTAGACTTACACAGACACTTTCCGGCTAATACTGAAGGTAGCTTCTGAGCTAGTTCACCCCTGCCAGACGGTGGGACCTGCATACGCAACAGTGAGCAATGAAGGAGATGTGCGCAGTGGAAGGCTTACCGGGAATAGTGTAATTGTACACGTTCTGTGACGACTTGTTAGCCTTGGCCCACCTGTACCAAATGTGTTACTCACAGGCTGGGAATAGACGTCGATGCCGACGCCGGGGTCTGACCTGAAGAGAAGTGGAGTCAACAATGGGCGAACGACATGCCACTCAGCGGGGCACTCACATCTTGTAGGCACCGGGGAACTTGACGAGATATGAGCCAGAGGGCTGAGCAGTTCCAGAGCCCTGCCATCGATTGACGTCAAAACAGCAGGACGAGGGAACATTGAAGGAACACTCGCGGTGACTATCAGCTGCGCACACTCCGGGTAAAATTGCGGCTGGTTTGACGTGTGGATCGCGAGCAGCTCGTGTCGGAGGAAGTACTCGCCCGCCTTGAGGGAGGCGGGGATCGTCGTCGTCCAACTGTTGTTGTTCGCGATGAGTTGGCCTTGCGCCCACTGGCCGTTCGGAAGGTTCCCCGAAAGCAGGCCTGAGTGCTCAATCTTGAACTGCAGGGTAGAAGGGGTATTAGCGTACGCCAGTACTTCAAGGATGACACACGTACCCAGTTCAGCGAAGAAGGGGTCGCAGACGTGCATGCGCCGTTGCAGTTCGCCATATAAATCATGACCGGGCCGAGGGCGTGCGGCCACTCGCTGACAGAGCGTCAGAATATAATTGGACTCGTTGTGGTGTGAACACTTACTTCCAATACGCAACGACCTTCGAGCCCGCAGGGACGGTCGCGGACTGCTGGGCGGAGCCGAGGGATGCTCCGTTGGTATTGCACGCCAAAGACCCATCGGTCGGGTCGGTAATGGGGTTGTAGGTGTCCCATTCGCGCTGAATGCCAGTCTGACCCACAGGGGTGTTGTAGGCCTTGAAACTGAAGATGGGGATGCATTAGCTTCAAGGTTTCCTAGCAGGACGACCACGCACCCTTGGTAAATTTGACCATTGATCCGGTAGCTCAGTACGCCGCCGTGTGCGGCGACGTGACTGACCGCGATGGCGAGGGTAGTAAGCACGGCAGATATGAACATTGTGTAAGACTCGAGTCGTGCGTTCGACGGGTTGGATAGCGCAAGGATCCTTCCTAGCAGCCATGCACTCTTATACGCGCGCGAAGGGTAGCTGGAGGTCATGGTCTTCAGATGGAGCGACGACGATATTCCGCTCGTCCATGCCTGGAGAATCAGTGGGATGCACTTCGGAGGCGTTTGGCATGGAAGCGCGACCCAACGTATGTGTCTCCTTGATCATGCGTAGAGTCGCGTTAGACGACCCGGTAACAGAACGTCCAGAACGCGTCTGTTTTGCGACGCTATGCTGAAGACGGCACCAATTGAGTCGAGGAAGTCTCGTTCAATGAGATCACGCTCAGATACGTATGACCGCTGAAGATGATGAAGAAAAGACGAGTGCATGTGAGATGCCAAGCTAAACGTTACCCCATGACTGTCATGACATACCAGCAGGCCGCTGTCTATCGCCGACATGTCGACGGTGCGAGTGCTCCTGCACCGGAGAGCATGTTGAGTTGTGAGCAGAACAAAGGCTTCGGGTGTATAGTGAATCGCATGATAGATCTAGGTCATTCGCCAACACCACTATTCTCGAAGGAAGTCGTCGGAACTTGTGTTTGCGGCCGTCGTTTGAGGACTCTAGAGTTGCATACGCCGTATTGAGGGCGCACAAAAAGCCTTTTCAGCAGCACAAAGTTACTGAGGAGGTGGAAAAATGGAACTCAAGCCAAGCTCAAGTTGGAGGAGTGCGGCGAGAGAGACGGCCTGAGACAGCCGGAGACGGCATGGAACATTTAGACGCCCTCGGCTCCGCATCGGGCGCTTATGTGAGATCACGATCGACGTTTGGTAGCTTCGCGTCGCGGCTTCTTTTGACTGCGTCCACCATCTTCGAGGCGTCAACTGGACATGTCGAAACCCACAAAACATCACAAGCCCACGTCGAAGGTCTCCAGCGCGTCTTCGAGGGAAGGCCGCCAGTCCGCAGCGAAACAGATGCAGGCGTCAAAAAAGCGGTCCAAGGCGCAGGCGCGGATATCCAGGGGCCAGGCTGCAGACGTCACTGCACAGATAAACGGGGAGTTTGCGCAGGTGCAGAGTCTTCTTGGGAACGTGCGTTCTCATCCATTGGGGATTATTTTGGGGTGGAGGAAGTTTTGACGAGCGACTCCAGGCTGAACAGCGACCGCAACAAACACAGAAGCCTGCGAAGCTACCTGAGAGTACTGTCCAGGATCTCGCGGACGTTATGAATCTGAGCGGGCTGTAACTGACAACAGGTATGTGGACCGCTCTGACAACGTTTGTATGTCGATTCACAGCAACGCTCAGCGCACTCCGTTCCATGACGCATATTGTATACGCCATTGCGCATAGCTATCTGCGGCAGAAACCCCTCCGTCACACCGCCGTGATCTGCAGCGGTAACTCCCAGTCTGGCGCACAATGCATACCATGTTCCGTATGTCGTTTGACCGAGCCTCCGTAACCGTATGCAAAACCTAACCCGTCGTCAGAAAGGTACCTCGTTATAGATGTGCATGCGAAACCCGCGGAACGTGGACATCGAGACGACGCACTCAAAACAACCGTGTGTACCACTACCCCAACTGCACTATGGCGGCGTAGACCGCGTCGCTCCGCGCTCACCGCTAGGATCTCGTAGCTGCAATCTACATCTGTGGTCAATAATCACTCCTTCTGGCTCCCTTACTGTGCCGTTCTCAGCTTCATCATTCACCAGCACAGACGTCAAATGGAGGCCATCCACACTCACCACGATCCACACGCGTTCCGGAGTACATTCATTTTTGACTCCCTGCTGCGGCGCCGGTCGCAAATGCCCGCTCATCGGAGCATACAAAATCATGCACATGCTGATCTTGGCACTTCCGCTCACGTCGGCGAATACGTCGGTCTCGCCCTGCTCCGTCTGTCTCGGGTCTCACTACACTGCGCAAGCTGCTCATATGCCAACGATGAAGTACTCGACCGCTTAGCTGATGACCGCTCACTCGTCCCTCCATATGGTGCACATGTATAGCTTCAGGGCCGTCATTTACGGCGCACTGGGGAATCTCGGCCTCCCTCTCGGAGCGTCTCTCGGCTTGGTATAAAGACCTCTGTTCAGAGGAGCAGCGGTTATAGCACACGGTCAACATCATGCGATTCAACACACTCTCTGCCGCCGTTTTCGCCTGCTTCTTGGGTGTTGCACACGGCTTCTCCGGCACCGGTTAGTCCACAGCCGTACTATCATACATCCTGTGCGCTCATGCGACGAATAGCCTCATTCGGTGACACTGGATTGGGAAGCTGCGGCGTCACCCGGCAAGACAGCGATCTGGTCGTCAGCCTCAGCCCGACGGATTACGCTGGGGGAGCGAACTGCGGGCGCGCGATCAACGTACACTGTGAGTTTTCCCTTTTGTTTTCCCCGCCGGATGAGATTAAACGGCTGATGACTGTCACAGTCCAAGGAAAGACGGTGAAGACGGTGGTGTTCAACGAATGCTTCAGCTGCTCGGGTGATGGTATCGATCTCTCTCGTGCCGCGTTCCAGCAGCTAGCAAGCCTTAGTGTGGGCCAGATTTCGGTCACCTGGGAGTTCGCGACGTAACGTATAGCCGGACGACATCGAATGTGTACAACGTTATCACGTACCCGTACGAGCATATGGTATACAGGCCGCGATTACCAACCGTCCTGACCGCCATGCTTGGTACATTTTGAGACGTTTCTTCTTCGACACGGGCACCCAGATACAGGTACCACTAACTTGCGAAGGGTGAATAGGTCTTTCAAATACGTACTGCTGGGCTGCGAACTGCCACGTCCGTCAGGTCATGTACCCCGTGTTGACTGGATATCATGCGTTGAAAGGGGCCTCTTTCCTTTTCACAACCGGCTCCCCAACACGCACCCGTACGTCCCTGTTTATATCGGCGCACCATCATCCCTCCCACACACACTACAAGCATCGTACTTTACGTTAACACTGAACAGCACGCTGCGCAGCTCAATTTAACCAAAGACTCGTTCGACGGATCCCATCGTTCCAGAAGCAGTGCAACAGGCGAAATGATGAAGTTATCGCCGACCATGGAGGTGTCAAGCAGGTAGTTCCTAGTGCCCGTAACTACTCGCTATTTCATGATACTCACACCTCGTACCTCGGTTACAGGACAAATTGCGGACACCCATTGACGGCGTACACCGCCGTGCGCAGTCCCTGGATGCGCAAATTGAATTAGTCGAGTGGATGCAATAGGACACTCTCACGTCAAATCCTTGTTCACAGTAGGTGTTTCCTAGGTTTCGCGGTTGTTGGGCGGCCTACGTTTCAGAGAGCGTTATCCCTCCGGCGATTCCGTGCATCCTACGCAGTCGTTCCCAATATATAGAGGTATGTTGGCCAACATGTCTAGCTTGGCGGTTTTCTTGTGTTCCGGTTCTCGTCCATTCCATCTTCCTTCTCTGTGTAAATGCGTTCTCTTTCGTTCGTGCCCCTGGTGGGCGGCGTTCTGCCTTTCTTCCTTTCCCCCGTCGTTAAATCAAAGCCGGCCTCTTTTGCTGTCAGCATCCGCGGAGGGGGCGTGGAGTTTGTCGATGAACCCCTCAGCGCAAACATCGGAGTGAGCACGTCCAACGATTTGATCGTACGTTCTTATCAATTTAGTTCGCGTTGTCTTGGGCCTTTCAGCTGATCATGGTACACAGCACTTTACCCTGGCCACACCGCCGCCTACTGTCGCCCCCTCTGTATTTGTGAATGGGGGCTCCGGCATCGGCTCGCTGGGCTCACTCGACGACCAGCCGGGTCAGAGTCAGAATATACCAGGCCAGCCAGGCCAGCCGGGTCAGATAGTCCCAGGACAGCCAGGCCAGTCGGGTCAGCCGGGTCAGAGCGTTCCAGGCGAGGACGTCCCGGGCCAGAGCCAGAGCGTCCCGGGCCAACCAGGGCAGGTCGTACCGGGCCAGCCAGGTCAGGTCATTCCAGGACAGTCAGGACAGCAGGGACAACCAGGACAGTCAGGACAAGTCGTGCCAGGACAGACCATCGCAGTCCAGGGCTCGTCGGGCGGGAGCGTCACTATACCAGGCATCACCGTTCCCGGCTTCACTATCTCAGGCATCACCACTGTGGCGGGCGTCACCATGCCAGCCCAGACCTTGCCAGCGCAAAGCGCAGGCGAGTCGCCAGCCCAGAACTCCCCGGGGCAGGTCCTTTCGCAGTCTCCGGGCTCGTCGACGAGATCAGGGCAATCGAGCACGTCGACTCAGGCAACACAAAACGGACAGCCTGTGACGAACAACAAGAATGGGGCAGGGAGGCCGACTCAGGCTTTGTGGACGGGCGTGTACGGTGCTTATGTCCTGTACAAGATGTTTAACGTGTTTGCGTTGTAACGATTTTATGCATATCGGAGACTCGGAGCGATTTAAATCGTTGTTGCATCTCCCCAATATTGTCACATATTGATGTCAACCCCGGGTGACAACCAAGAGAAAGTTGACGTGCGACCGGCCAGCTTCAAGTGACCAAGTCGCGGCTCCTTGAAGGTGTGCGCGGAAGGCATGGCCATTGGCGCGTGACAAAAACGCGTGACGCGACGCGTTTATTACGGGCGCCAAATAAAGGGACGCCGGGTCGGACGCAAGCTGGGTTGAGTACACATCTCTCCCTCCGCTACCACCACCTCTCCCTCCCGCGATGCCTGCCAAGGCTCTTGTCAACCCCGCTCACACCCCTGGACATACCTGCATTGCGTTCTCTCGCGATGGCTCGTCAGTACTTCTCCTCTCGTCCTCCCGCTCGCCTGCTCATGCCTCCCCCACAGACGCGTCTACACAGGCGGTGCCGATTCCCTTGTTCGTATATGGGACACAGCCCTTGGAGAAGACCAGGAGCCGCCATGCGCAACGGAGGCACTTGAGGAGGTTACCGCCATCGCTGCTGCTGTACGCCCCCCTCCATTGCATCTCATCCGCACCTCACCTAACTCGTCGTATAGCCCGACTGCTGGATTTCCGGGAGCAAAGACTCAGATGTCAGGCAGTATGAACCTGGAAAACCGAACATGCGAGGCCTTCTCACCAACAATGCTGGGATACCCATTCGTTCTGTCGCCGTAGATCCAAAGGGAAAACGAGTTGCAGTAACTTCTGAGTGAGTCCCTACACCTTCACAACCGACAGTGAAAGGTCCGCGTATCGCGTCTTGTTATTCGTGCGCCGTCGCGCGTTCAAAGGGCGTCTTGTAGCTCCAGGATGTAGCTCCAGGATGTAACTGTCCTGCAGCAGCCTGGCTGGTACTTCGAGTGACGCGCTGCATGTGCCCACTCTTGCAACCTACCTCGTCTACTTGCGCGCGTGTGTGTATGACATCTAACACCTCTCCAGCGAAACCACAGTCAAGGTCATTGACCTGGAAGACATCACCAAGATGACCGTGCTTGAAGGCCACACCAAGGCTGTTCGCAAAGCGACGTGGCATCCATCGGGTTCACTCCTTGTCAGCTCTTTCCGTGCCCTGTTCTGAACGCAGCTAACCCATTCGTAGACTACATGTGGCGCTGATGGCAAGATCATTGCATGGGACGTCTCAGGGAGCGAGCCAAAGCAGGAGAAAGTGATTGAAGGCGTTCTTCCTGTTGCGGGGGACTCAGAGTGAGTGCTATCTTCGACGGCATGTCGCTCGAGATATTTATGTTTTTCTTAGAGCACCCGAATTCGGGTACGACTGCTCGGCGGTCTGGCATACATCTGGACAATACTTCTTCGTAGCTACGCGCACCCACGGTAAGTCACTTCAACGTAACATCGTCCTGTCTACATACTTAACCAACTACTTAGAAATTGCAACAATCTCCCGTTCGGACTGGTCGAAATCCTCGACCCTCTCCGATGATGCGTGCACTGGCGATATCACGGCCCTCGCACTCTCCAGTAACGGCGTTTACCTCGCCGCCGCGTCCAAGTCTGGCATCTTCATCTGGTCAACGCAGAACAGGCGCATGCTTTTCCGGTAAGACATTCGCTCTGGAGCAATGTCGCCTGAGTTGATATTCAACTGTCATGCAGATATCAAGGCGCGCTGAACGCGCCCATAACGCAGATGGCCTTCTCTCCCTTGAGGAATCTCCTCGCCTGGACAGACACGGAAGGCGACCTCACCCGCTGGCCCGACCCTATTCCATCATCCGCCCCGGATCCCGTCAAGAACTCCGCGGGCACTAACTCCGTCACTGTACCTGTGAAGCGGAAGGGCACCCCGACATTGTTCGACGATGACAATGTCGCTGTCGCGCGACCTGAGAAGCAGAACGGGGACGTCGACCTGGATGAGGATTTGGGGATTGACCTCGACAACGATGATTGGATTCTTGACGACATGGATGGTGCTCTGAATGATGACGGAGAGGCCAAACGATTGGCAGTCGAGGGCGGTGTCAAGGAGATGGGTAGGTACTTTATATTTTGCATCAGTCAGAGTGCGTGCTAACCTGCGAGTAGTCAGTGTAACGAAGGCACAGCCAGCTTTCCAGCCCGGCTCGACTCCAATGGAGAACAAGAAGCGGTATCTTGGTAAGACCAACACACCCAGACAGGGATAGGACCACACTCATCGTTTATTTATATCGTAGCATACAACATGGTTGGCGTCATCGAGGTGACGGACCAAGATACCCACCACATTGTGAACGTCGAGTTCCACGACCGGTCGTTACGAAAAAGCTACCACTTCACAGACCACTTCCGCTACGACATCGCCTCCCTTGGTACGTCCTATTGGCGCTCCGTTCCGTTATTCACCGTAAGCTAACTTGTAGCACAGGTGAACGTGGTGCGCTATACGCCTGCCAACCTGAAGCAGAGCATGCAGCACATGTCATTTATAAGCCTTATGGCACCTGGGCCTCTCAGTCCGAGTGGACGTACGAGCTCCCCACGGGCACGCGGGTACTCGGGATCGCTGCAGGCGGTCCACCACCCTCCAAGTCTCTCCGAGATAAGAGCGACGTGGACGGCGGGGGACAGGGTAACGTGGTACTCGCGACTAGTGATGGCGAGCTCGTCTTCCTTACAGGTAGCGGAATCGAGCGTGCGTGCCTTAGCATGCCGGGCGACTTCGTCACGATGGTCGCGGGCAGCGAGTGGGTATTTATCGTATCGCGTGACGGTAGCACTACCATGGATGGTATGTATGCAAAAGCTACTCGCGAGGTTCGAGGGATCTGACGGGCGCGTACAGGTTCCCAAAACCTCACCGGCCGATTGATCAAGTTTGACGACTTTTGCGTTCTCCAGAAGGATGCTCTTCCAATTCCTAAACGACACACGCTAAAGTGGGTCGGGATCACAGAAGAAGGCGTAAGCCCTTTTCCCTTTCACCCCCGTATTCCGACTCACGGTAAATGCTCGCTAGGCCCCTGCGATGTACGATTCATCCGGCGTGCTACACCTCATGCCCCGCTTCCGGATACCTCTTTCCGCTACATGGATGCGCGTACTCGACACGAACAAGCTTGAGCGACGAGAGGGCAAACACGAGTCATATTGGCCCGTCGGCCTTGCGGGCGAAGCCTTCATGTGTCTGATCCTCAAGGGTCGGCAGGCGCATCCCGGCTTCCCGCGCCCCCTCATCCAAGAACTTGCCATCCGGCTACCATTCAAACGCACAGACCCCAAGGAGGCTCCCCTCGAAGAGCAGTACGTCCATTCCCCCCACAATAACGCTACAAGTTACTCACAAGGCTCGTAGCTTCGCACGCGAAACAATGCTCCTCGACATCCTCCGGGACGGCCTCGGCGAGGACGAGCTCACGACCGACGCCCTCGCCGCGCGCGAGCTCGCGCTCGACAAGGAGCTCATCCAGCTCATCCAGCACGCATGCAAGACGGACCGCCTCGCGCGCGCGCTCGACCTCGCCCGCCTGCTGCACCTCACGCCCTCGTTCGACATGGCGATCAAGGTCGCGGGCTTCTACCACCTCCTCGGTCTGCAGGAGAAGCTCGAGGCGCTTAAGGCCGACCGCGCCGCGGACGACCGCCTCGAGGGCCTGCGCGACCGCCGGCGCGGGATTGCGGACGACTTTGCCCCAGTGCCCGCGATGCGGCTGCCGGGGGTGGGCGGCGAGGGCGCGCGGCCGAAGGCGTTCCAGGACTTCCGGCCGCCCCCTGCGCTGCATAGGCCTGGGCTCGAGCGCGCGCAGGCGTCGGGAAGCGGTTCGGGGCGCGGCAATACGGACACGCAGATGACGGACGATGCGACTGTGTATGGGGGTGCGACGCAGAACGATGGGTGGGGGACACCGTCGCCGGATGGGAAGCGCAAGCGGCCGTTGGATGAAGAGACGCCCCGTGCGCGCTCGCCGGGTCTCGATTCCGGCGCAAAGCGTCGGGCGATCGGCGACTCTGCTTCGACAGCTAGAGCTGCCGTTGCGCCACAGCCTAGTGAGCATCCTTTCTCCTGACTGCTCGTTTACCAGCGCGGTGTTAATGTACGCTGTAGGGAGCAATCCGTTCGCACGCAAACCCGCTGCGGATAACAACCGCAACCCGTTCGCGCGAAGCGCAGACACGAACAAATCCGTACACAAGAGCGAGAGCTTCTTCGTAAAAGTAGACGCAGCGGAGGCTGACAAGGGCAAACGTGAGTGTCTTTTTGCCGGTGCTACCCGTGCTAGCGTATGCTAAACCCGTCACGTCAGAGCCCAAGCAGTCCAAGGCAAAACCGAAAGAGAAGGAGAAGAAAGAAGTCGGCAGGCAGACGACGCTGTTCGGCCTGCCGCCGGCCCAGCCTGCAGAGAAGAAGACCGCCGTACGGAAGAAGAAAGCGGGCACTCCTGCAGGAGAGGAGTCGCAGGACACGGCTTCACGCATGAAGACGCAGACGGACACGCAGACAGACATTCCGATGGAGGAGAGCCAGGCTGAGACCGAGGGTGGGGGGGACACGCAGGTCGACGAGCCGTCGCAGGTGCCGACTGAGGTTGAGAGTCAAGTTCAGAACACGGACGCGATGGACGCAGAGGTATGTGTGCTGGGACAACCCCGTTTCGTGTGCGTTGATTGACAGTATGTCTTGCAGGACGCTGGGACGCCAATCGAGTGGCCTGAGTCTCCGGAGCTCCGCACGCGGGAGCTGGAGGCGGTAGCCTGAGGCACGGTCTTCTTGTATACCACGTTATGTATTAGTATACGGCCCTTTCCGCATGTTTCCTCCTGATAAGAAATTATCTCGAAAGAATTCCGAGATGTGGCACGAGCTAGTCATGTGTGCTACCGCAAGTCATCGTTACTTGTATACAGAGAATAGTCCCTAAGTGTACATGCCTTCTCCTTGAGCATACTCATACACGTCCCCCGTTTATGTGTACTTGTTGTAGACCACCGCCACGTATGGTACTCAGTACGCACTGCCTTGAGCGGGTAGGCCATCAGGGAAGAACTGCTTGAACATGTCTGGATAGTGGCGCTCCGCAACATCGGGATGGCTCCTGCAGGTCATCCACCCCGTCAGACATCCGCGTTGGACGAGTAGACAGCTGAGAGCACAGTACACACTTTACACGCCCGATGAGGTTCACGTAGCCAGTCGGATACTGGCCATACTCTGCGTAGTTCACCGCTGCGAGCACAGTTCCGTCAGATTCGGCCTGGCTGTGTCACAGGGAAGACGGCTTACAGTCAACGACGCCGACTGTTCCGCGCGTTTCCTTGAGTTTCAGGATTTCCGGTTTGACTGGCGCGCGGAGCTCGTCAGCTTCTCATGCGGCTGTAGGTATAAATCAGCCTGCTCACAGTCCAGCACGAAGTCGCCTATGCAGATGTCTTGCGTGACGTTCTGGAAGAACGGGATTGAGTATCGCGGCGTCGAGCCTGGGGGCGGCGACAGGACGCGATGGGAGGTTGCGCGCGCGAGGCCCTGAGTGACTGTTTCGAGCGCTGCGGAACGATGGTCAGCTCCAAGAAAAACGATATGTAGTGCAAGTGTGGACGCCGCACCTTTACCGATGTTCACGACAAACGTGCCCGGGATCGGAGGCGCGTCGATCCACTCCCCCGCCAGGTTCTGCACCTGCAGCCCAGGATGATCCGAGGCCTGTACTAGCTGCTCACAAGCGACTTCAGCGGAATGCACACATGCGAGCCACGCGCGTGGCCACTGACGAAGGTCAAGAAGCCGCCGTCGTAGTGCGGGCCCACGCCCTGGTCCGACTCGCCCTCCTTGCGCGCGGGGTACTTGACGATCTTCGAGCGGTGCTGGAGCACGCCCGGGCGCGGCTGCGACGTGCCCGCGGGGAAGAACGGCAGGAGCGCCTGGTTGGACACTTCGAGGACCTCCGCGACGAGCGCGATGAAGTCGTAGCTGAGTTGCTCGACCTGCGCGAGGTACCGCAGGTACACGTCTTTGAAGCCCGGGAGGAGCTCCTCCTTCGGCCACTGCACAGTTGGAGCTCGGATGTTAGCACCAGCAGCGCGAGGAGATCGAGGGGCGAAAGCTCGCCTGAGACGGCCCCCAGAGCTTGAGGTACTCCGGGTCGCCAGGCTTCCAGCGGGACTCATACGGGGTCCCAAAGTCGAACTGCTCGCGCATGTCCGTCTTGCCCTTCGTCAGCTCCGCCCCGAGGCGCGAGTACCCGAAGAAGTGCGGGGAGTTCGCCATGCGAATCGCGTCCTTCTCGTCCTGCGGGAGATCGAACACGCGCGGGGTGTACGCGATCAGCGCGTCCATGTCCGCACGCGCGACCGGGGGATTCGAGAGGTAGAGGAAGCCGACGTTGATGAGGGCGTGCCGGAGCTGCGCCTTGAATGTGGCGGCGCCGGAAGGGGTGGACAGGAGGGACCAGTCGAGGATGGGGACGCTTGAGAAGCTCCTGACGGAGCTGGATGCATCTTGGGACATGGTGTGTGCTCAGTCGTTCTGCGATGTCTCAGTGAACAGTTGGTCGAAGCCCGAGTCTACGGCGCACCAAGGTGAAGTGGAGGTGTCTGGCAGAGGAGGTCGGATGTCTATAAGTAATCTGCGATTGCGCTATAACAATGCAAGCTGACTCGTGCTTACATGGGAATAAGTGACCTGGGGTGGTCAGGAGCCGGCCTCCCGCAGGACGGATGACGCGATCGTAGGGACATGGTGAGGACACCCTCTAGATCCCCGCGCCGGCGTACCCCGTACTACACCCAGCTCTGCCGCAGGTTCGACGCCGAATACAGGGCCATCGGGCAGAGCGAGTAGTGTGCAGCACCACATATGCGTCGTCGTTCTTTTGAACCTGTTCGCTGCAACCGAGTCGGAGGGCTATTGCCTTTGCCTTTCACCAAAGCAACACCGGTCCGAACCTTCCGGGAGGTGGCACAAGCGGCAAACGTCACTGCACTATGAGGGGATCCCGTGGACATAAATACCCGGAGCGGACAAAACCAAATCTCGACTTGGGGAGTGCGTTTAGGTTTCGGACTTTAAATTCAAATGTCATTTTGCATCTCGAACTTGAACTTGGGTCGGTAGTCACCCGTCCGACACCATCAATCAGGCTTATTAGCCTTATCCGCACGCATTGCGAACAAGGCTAACTAGCCTTCCTGCGCCCTTATCCGTCCCCCAGCAATTGCCCCAGCGCCCCAGCTCGACTTCATGCCTCTCCTCAACGTCCCCGGCATCCTCGGCAACGTCCCCCGACGGCCCATCACTGCCGCCCGCCCCGCCCCGCCAGATCTCCCCCGCGATCCAGATCGCTCCCACGTCATTCCCCACGCGAGCCGTGCCTTGCCCGCCGTTCCGGCCCATCGGACATCCCGCCCGCAGGCGCGCGCCCGCCGCCCTCGCCGCCCTCGCCGCCGCCCTCGTCCTCGCCGCCGCCGCCCTTGTCCTCGCCGCCGCGCTCGCTCCGACTGAGTA